CAACCATGCCCCTCTGCCGTAGGCATGGTTGGCTATTTTTGTGAGATACAAACACGCTAAAGCAAGCACAGGAACTGAAAGTAAATTACATGCATTGGCCAGCCCACCAACTGCTGGTGGTGGGTTATAACAGACCAGGGCAGCTGTGGCTCAGGAGGAAGAGCGGGTCGTCCACTTATCAGAACCCAGCCAACATTTGTATGTGGGGCCCATGTGGGTAGAAAATGGGCTGGAAAACAGGCCCTATATAGGATTATCCATGAGTTCCATAATGGCGTCATGCCACTTGCACATCAAAAACACACATTAAACATGGCTTCATAGCAACAATTTCAAAACAAACTGGCTTCACTATAACTCGCAGCATTCACAAACAAAACACTTGTCCTCTACTGGACACATTTTACCCACAAATACAACATGCTAATGTTTTTAGCACAAGCCTATGGCATTTTACACTGTATAAATTAGCATAGCAGCTAGAGGACTTTTCCTTTACTCATATGAAGCCAGGGACAACAGCAACATTTAACAAAGATAATGTAACAAAATTCAGCGCCATTTGAACTCACAAGGTTCACCGACATAACAACTGTCCTATACTAAACATTCCAAACAAACATAACATGCTAACATCATTAGCACAAGCCTATGACATTTTACATTGTTTAAATTAGCCTAGCATTAAGAGGAGATTTCCTCTGCTCATATGAAGCCGGAATAAATCACACACAACTTAAAATGCTATTTTTTGGAGGCTTTATTGTCTTCACAATTTACTGCTTCTTATCTGTGAAATTAGAGTAAATAAAAACTTTCTTTCCACTGAGGGGAAAGCCCACTAGCCGCTGATGACTAGTTATGGACAGACTAGGGCAGCTGTGGCTCAAGAGGTAGAGCAGGTCGTCCACTAATCAGAACCCAGCCAACATTAGTATGTGGGGTCCATGTGGGTAGAAAATGGGCTGAAAAATGGGCCCTATATGGAATTGTCCATGGGTTCCATAATAGCCCCATGCCACTTGCCCACATGGGTTTCATGCAGGGTTACACTTGATGTTAGTTGGGCCCAAACAGGACAACATGCAAGATTCATCTGGGTCCCAGCTTCAAATTCTATGTGAACTACAGCAGTTTGATCCCTGGCTCCTACAGTTCGCATGTCAAAGTATCCTTGGGCAAGATATTGAATCCCAAAGTTCAGTGTGTGTTAGTGCATGTGAATGGATACCAAGTTGCAGGTGAGTGGTCAAAAGATAAGAAAGGCCCTATACAAATTTAAGTCCATTCATCCATTTAGCAGTATTGAGCAACAGAGACTGAATCTCAGTGCTGGCAGTGCACATAACTTTATCAATTTCTGTAAATATAGCAATTATAATGCGGGAAATACCTGCACACATTTATAGCAATGTCTCATAAATTTCATCCAATATTTGAGCTTCTGCTGAACGCAGGAGGGTGGTTGGAACACTGCATCACACAGACTATCTTCCGCCTTGGACAACACACCTGGCGTGCTCTCTTTCTCTCTCTACAAGGCTGAGTCCCCTCTGCTGTTCCAGAATCTCTTGCTACCATACAGATTTAATGTTGTGAAGTTGAAGGCATACAAGCATGATGGACCGCTGATGGAACCCAAAAGCATTAGTGCAAATGGCAGAGCCGGTGATGTCAACATTAACGATGGTTATCTCCTCAGAGAGGTAACAGTAACATTAGCAAGGTGAAACAGCCGTCCAAAGACAAGTTTAAGGCTAACTCGTTCAGAATCTAAAGCCCTGTTTCCACTGTGTAGTATGGTTCAGTTCAGTTCAGTTTGGTACACTTGTTGTTTATGGTACCAATAGAACTGTACTGTACCATTCCCATTTTTGGTCACCCCTCCGTTGGGTTAATGAGGGAATACAGTGAGTGCTAGACGGAGCAGTGACTGACAACAACCCCACCCACATATAAGGTGGATGGTGGAAACACTAGGGTCTTGATACCATATCTGGTTTGGTTCCAAAGGTACCATACAGAAAGTGTTTGGTGGAAACGGGGCTTAACAGTGGCTTCAATTTAGCAACAATAAAATGAGCTGCTCCTTTTACCAGCCGGTGCTACAAAACAGCATCTTTAAGAGGTGTGATGTTTTTCTTACAACAAGGAAAGGGAGAGAATAAAGCATGGAGACAAGAGAGAAGAAGGAGCTATAAGAAGAAAGACTAAGCTCAAAGAGATGACCACTAGAGAGGAGGAGAAGGAGATTACAGCAATGTATGTAGTGTAGTTAGTATCTACGGGAAGGACAGGACAAAGTGTATGAATCCCCCTATGTGAAGCATTTAAAGGGGAATTTCCTGCATTTTAAAAATCAGTTTCAGGTACTGAGCTCAGAGGAAGTGACCGCCCAATGTGCCTTTTTGTGTTTTTCATATTGAGTGTCTGTTTCTTTCAATGAATTTACAGCAGACTGTGAAAAACGGGCTGTTGCCCCTTTAAGCTGATGCTACTGCACATTTGTTTTAGATGGAATTTCAGGATTTCTAGTTTTATAATAAACTTGCCAAAGTTCATTCATTTTATTTTTATCCTTTTTCTGGAATCTCGTTACACTGAAGCACATACTTTTGAGTTATAATCAAAACTGAATTTGGCGAGTAAACATCATGCTGTTCAGACTTAGCACCTTCTGTTTCATGCAGTGTGTGTGCATGTATGTGTGTGTGTGTGTGTGTGTGTGTGTGTGTGTCCCCGAGAAAACAGCTATCAGAAATATTATCCACTGCCCCGTAATGTGAGTTGTCACAGTGGTGTTTCTTTAAATGTGGCAGAACCACATTAAGCGCTCTGTGCTTTAATCCATCAGAAAAACTTAATCATAATAGATTCTGTTCTTTGCATATTAAATCTTCTTCTCCATATTCTAATTATGCCTATATTAATGCCTTTTATTAATTTGCCAGATGAAAAACAAATCCTCTGTCTTAGTCGGAGAAGCAACTGGGCACCATCCAAAATTTTAGATGCTTTTTTTTTCTTTCTGGCTGGGTGTTTGAAATTGAGATGAATGTCCCTCTCTCCATAGGATTGCAGCGACTAAACTAAACTCAACAACTAAATGGCTGCATTCCCACATTGAGACAGTGACTATAAACTGTGACTGAGGGTGTGATATCAGCCCAGAGTTTTATTGGTGTTTTATTAATAATTTACAGCTCCGCTTTTTCTTGTCAAAAAACTATGTCAGAACCTTTGCCTTTAGTGGTTTTCATCAGCAACAAGAACAACAACAAGGCAAGTATCTATTAAGTTTCTAAAAGAAGACTTCATGGCAAGGTCTCATCCTTCAATGTACAGTTGGCTACAATTGTCTGTAATTACATGGGTGTAGTGTCAAATATATAAATCCATGGATAAATATCAATTCTGAATACTTGAAACTGTTTAAATCCTAATTTTTAGTAGTTTTTATGCACCTGTGTCAGCTGTGCTTTCTTGCTCTCTCTAATTATTCTTATATGGTCACTGCAGTGATTCTGCTGTTCTCTGCTACTAAACAAGAAAAGAAACATTATTGTTGTCACGTTATATTATCTTATCATGTTATATTTACCTTTTAATAAAAGATTTACATTTTAAATATATATACTACATTAAAAATAAAAATAAAATTTTAAATTGAAATATATTTTTTAAATAAACAATTAAAAAAAATAAAATACTAATTAAAATACAAATTAAAAATAAAAAATACAATTTAGAAAAATAAAAAAAATATAAATGATTAAATTAAAAATAAAAATTTCATTACCTGAATGCCAATTTTTCACATTATCAAAAATGGTATTGAAATTTTATATTTTTAAAGATACTGAATCAAAGTAAGAAACTCCAACTTCGTGACAACACTACATGGGTGCACGAATAGCAAATACACAAGTAGATGTTGTACATGTGAGCGAGATCAATCATATTCTAAAGCAGTGGTTCTCGACTGGTGGGTCGCGATCCAAAAGTGGGTCACGGGTCCATTCTGAATGGATCGCAAGTGACTCACAATTTGTCAAGTTTGTGACAAAACACACAGTTCTTTTAAGTACGGTGAAATTCCAGCACAGAGCTGTGTTTTTGAAGTGCAGTCTCCTGCAGTGGAGTGAGTTACTAACTTACAGCCATGTGTCAGAGACGGCAAACTACTATAGTTCGATGACATGGCCAAACACAAGTGTTACGCTGAATGTATTAGACTGTGTAGACCTTGAAGAAATCTGGACCCCATGGCTGAACCAGTTGGTGGGATTCACCACTCATCTAAAGCCTGTTGTAATTGAGATTAAATGTGAATTTGGCGATTAAACACTGATAATGTGAACAATGGGCATCTCTCTCACTCACATGGATGGCAACAATTCTGCTTTAGATTCATAATTATTATGGTTTTCATCATACTAATGACAACCACAATTTTGTCCTACAGATATTAAATGTATTTTCATTATTAGTTATCTCTATGAAGTAATTCACATTGTCAGTGGCAGAGTCCTCCATTTCTGCACTGGATTCAAATGGCAGGCACATGTGCAAGAGCTTCAAAAGGAAAAGACACATGCACATACTGGACAAAATTCAGAAGACAGCAGAGCCAGAACTGTCAGTGATGGGCATTTTAAAAGTAAACACATTTGTGATGGTGAAAGTATTGTGATAGCAATGTGTGAAGAAGACATCATGTTTTTAAATTTACAAGTTGCTCATATTCTTCTGTTGTATTTCTGACAGAGGAGCTGCACAAACCGCATTTTCTTTCCCCCAGGGATCCCTAAATGTGTCATTTCGAACAGGCCTCTGGTACCTGTATTACTGTGATGTTCTTAATGTTATCACCAGTTACAGCAGGTGTTGCCACATCAACCAGAACTGAAATTCTGAGGATTAGAACTTCAGAAAAATAGCATGTACTGTGTGTGAGTGTGTGTGTGTGAGTTTGTGCGTGAGTGTGTGGTTGTGCGTACCTGTATTCTTCCTGAGTGAACACGGGAATGACGGAGGGCTGCAGGACTGTGATCTCTACAAGAGTTGTATTCTCCTTTACTGGCTCGCCATCATCGTAGGCCACCACCACCAGCTGTAAATCAAACACACACACACACAGGTAAAGACAGAGTCACAACTCTCAGTAAATATTCACGTGCTTGTTTGCAACATGGCTGTCTACCGCTGCCACTGCTCTGCACGCTAACATTGTCGAGATATCAATTCACAGCGTTTTACAGTCTGCTGACGGCGGAGACAGCCAAATAAATTGAGGCAGCTAATGCATGACAGGCTGATAATAAACCAAAATGAATGTCTACATTTTTGTTGCCCGCATCCTAAAAGCATATTATTTGCATGGGAATTGGAGAACAGGATAAGTGCGTATCCCACTGGTGTGCTTATTTTTTCTTGCTTTGCCTTTCTTCTTGGTTTAATTGGGGGGTAACCACTGTTAACCAAACCCAGAGGATTCCTAATGAGGGCAAAACCTAAATATCAAGACACTGAAAAATTGTCTTTCCTCCATCTTATTTAGCCTGGAAATTGTTACAGATACTGCATTGCCCTTCATTATATTCACGCACTAACTCAGACTCTATTAAATGCATTGATTATTCTTTAACTGCTGGAAACTTACATTGTTTGTTGGAATATGTGGTACTTAAAGGAATACTTCACCTGCAAAATGAGGATTTGTAAATCCATTCCTCACCCTGTGTTATGTTAAATTTGCGAAGAAAACTTTGTATTTCTTGCATGCCTAAAGTGTGAGCTAAGATTCCAACAACTGAGAAAATTCTTTATGGATTAAAGTGAATGGGGGCCACATTTAAAAACAGCAAAACTGTTTAACAAAATCTGTTTACAAACTCTCACACAACTCGTGCAGTATAATCCAAGTCTAATTTATCCAGTTGTACGCTCAGTACTTCCCAAGCACATGTATTTTTGTTGAAACCTTACTAATTAAACACTTTCACATACAAGAAGCACGTCTGGGCATGTGCGTTCATTTGAAGTCTGCCCGAAATCCCACCTCCCAGCAAGTTTATTGGCCAAGAGCTCTGTTGTCACTTACCTGAGCCTGTCATTTTCTGGCCAATGAATGAGTGCAAAGCACTTGCCAGGTGTGCTGCTTGTCCATGCACAACTTCATACGCTTACAAAAGCAACTTACTACCATTACACATCACTCAAAAGAGTGCAACCTGGACAGTGCACAATTTTTAGATCTGGTCAAACTTGAAACTAAAATAATCATGTTTAAAGCAAGAAATAATTCACTTCTGGTTATAATTTAAGAGGAGAATTTAATTTTAAAAAACAATGTGTTTGTACAACTGTGAAAAGACTGTGTATTTCAGTGTGTGGGGTGGACTTGTGGAATGGGCTGCGTGATGAGAACAAAGCACAAATATAAATCAATTTAAAAACTATACAAAAAAGATATTTCCAGCAAGTATAGATGAGGTGTTTTTAAGTGTTGAAAGTAGAAAGGTTTTAGCGAGTTGGCATGTGTTTGCAAAGTACTGAGCATATGACTGGGTAAACAAGGCTTGGATTATACTGAACAAGTTGTGTAGGAGTTTGTAAGAGCATGTTTTGATGGAGTTTTGCTGTTGTTAACGGCGGCTCCCATTTACTTCAATCTATCGAAATGTTTCTGTTTTTCTTTCTTTAATTAATCACAGGCAAATAATGATTCATGTGGCACAGCTGACATGACATGACAGTATGGTTTCACAAAAAAAGAAAAATAAATAGACTTACACAGAACAAAGTTAGTAAAAGAATCACATCAGTAATTCAATTGATGAAGTTAATAGTACTAGTACAACAAAAAAAACAATTCAATTTATATGACAGGTAGAGTGTAATTATAATTCAATATAGTTCCACTTTTCATAAAACCAGATCTCCCATTTCATGTTGTGCAACTTTAAGATGATTTCTAGCAATACTTTTTTTTTCATGAGAAATTGACTTTGCACTGTTTTTTTCAGGAAACTTAAATTCAAATTTGTTCTTGATTGAGCTTTGAATATAAATATTTTACCCAACAGAATAATCATATTTATTATCTGGGGACAGTTTTCATCCAGGGCACCCAATAAAATGTTTAAAAGTGTAAGTTCAAGACATACATTGAGTGGCCCCAGCCAACCTTGGATATCAGTCCACAAACCTTTTTTCAGGTTTTGGATTCTTCGCTCACCATGGAGGCATGTGACAAACAAATGTTCTCTTCACAAATTCAGCGTGACACGGGGTTAGTAATTGATACACAAAGTTCCTTTAAGGGTCTTGCTCAATAGCAAAGTGACTTTTTTTCAACCTTACTGGAGATTTGAATGGGTTGCCCTTTTTCTCCACTTAAATCTTTATTATCAAAACAATTTTTGTGACATTGACATTTCTGTTACAACAGCATAATAAAATAAGAAAATCACTGAAAAATAATAAGAGCTAACGAAACAACTACTTGTGTAAACATACATTTTACAGCCTTAATGATTAGTGTATCTATTGATTATTACTCCAGTCCAGTGTTGTCTTTTTGAGTCTTGTATAAAGTCCATTTCTCTCATTTTCTTTCTAGTTGTGCTTCTTGTAGTCTCAGTATGTGTGTCAGTTTCTCCATTAAAAAGATTTATTCCACACTTGTTAGCCATTGGTCCTTTGTTGGTGGTGTCTCTAATGGGTTGCCTCTTAGTTACAAACCAGTTTCTAGCCTTGCACACTGCCAAACTGCTCCAAAAATGTTTTTTGAAAATACATAAAGCTGTGATGTCGTTACTGTGCGATAAAAGCAAATTAGGTAGACATTTGCTACATAACAATGAGATTGTCTGACTGTGTATCTGTCCTTGTAAAAATTATACCTTAGACAGTGTTTATCTCAGTTATAATCCTAAAATTGTACACAGTGTTGGACTGATACATTTTGTTGAGTTATTAGGAGCAAATGAGGTAGAATTAGTCCCCTGAGTAACATCTTCAGAGGACGCTGAATCCTTGTTGTGTTAATTAAAGCCCAATGAAAAGATGAAATTAGCATGGCCCAAAGCCCCATCGAGGAGTGCAGCTGGGAAAAGGCAATTTTTAAACTAATAAACTACTGCGGTATACTTTGTACAGTGGATGGGGATTTATAGGAGTGCTCGGTGCAAAGACACCTTTATGTACACAAATGCTACAAGTAAGCAAGTCTGAGAGTGATGATCAAATTAATTTTTAATGACTCAGTTCATGTGATGTCGACCCAATCCTCCACCCACTAAATGCAAAAATCCAAAAACTAAAGCAAAACAGGGAAGCATCAGATAAATCCTCTCCAGTAAAGATTTTCTCTTTTGGACTACAGCTCCTGTGCTAGTGTTTACAGTTTGAATAGATCAATTCGATTGATTAGGAATTACATTAAGTGATGCTGCATACTGTATTTACATTGTGATATACAGTAGACTCACTAAAGCATGGCTTTAATTAAAACATTGTCTATATTACTGTTTGATGGAAGTTAGTATCTTTCTAGTGGGAGAATCTTGTACTGCTGTTTGACTCAATCACAGATGTGGCACGACGTGATTTTGCCAAGTAGGACATGCTCCTGGATCAATATCCCACATTACGTTCCTGGACCAACATTGCAATCAACCAATCACAGCCCTGTGACATCATCAGTGTGCTGCTCCTGTGCTTCTTTCAAAATTCCTTTGTGCTTCTTCAGAGCTCAGAGAGTTTTCCAAATTGAAGTTAGTACAATTAAACAAAATCCTCAGAAACGCTACATAAAAAACCTTGCAAGCTGCTGCAGGGTTAGCGAGTTAGCTTGCTAACTAGGTAGGCTATGCTAACTATTAAACTTGCCAGTAGACTAGAATATTAGTGTGTTAAGCAGGATTTATACTTGTGCAGCAGATTACGCTGTAGCCTATGCATGTTGCCTACACTGTTGTGAGCATTTATACCTGTGTGGTGGTGTGTCTGTGTCACTGTGCAGTGTTAGTTAAGTTAGTAAAGATTAGATGATTCAAAACACACCCAAAACACACATTAAACATGGCTTAATAGTGACTATTTCAAACACAAGTACACAAATCAGCTTCACTTAATTTCACAGACAAAGCGCTTGTCTCTATCTGGACACATTTCCCCACAAGTACAACATGCTAATGCTATTAGCACAAGCCTATGGCATTTTACATTGTGTAAATTAGCCTAGCAGCTAGAGACGACGAGCAGAGATTTCCTCTGCTCATATGAAGCCAGGATAAATCACACATAAGACTTAAAATGCTGTTTTGTGGAGGCTTCATTGTCTTCACAATTTATTGTTCCTTATCTGTGAAATTTAAGTAAATAAAGCTTACAAAAATAAACAGGAGGTCTGAGTCCCACATTTCTGGGGAGGTGCACATCAGGCTACGGCGTAGGCTCTATGTCGATGTGGAGCCTATGCCATAGGTATGGCGTCGATTCAACGCAGAAGTATAAAAAAAACAATATTTTAGTGTATTACTTGTTAGCATAGCCAACCTAGCAAGTTAACTCTATAACCCTGCAGCAGCTTATAAGGTTTTTGTTTAGTGTTACTGAGGATTTTGTTTAATTGTACTAACTTCAATTTGGAAAACTAGCTTAGCTCTGAAGAGGCACAAAGGAATTTTGAAAGAAGCACAGGAGTAGCAGACTGACAGTGTCAGAGGGCTGTGATTGGTTGATGTTCCTGGACCAACGTTAGTCCAGGAACGTGACGAAGGTTGTTGATCCAGGAGTATGTTCTACCTGGTAAAATCCCATTGTGCTACAGATGTACATGTTTTATATCGCTTAGAATGCAAGTGTAAAATAGAAATATCATGTTGTTGCATTCGTGGTACAAAAAAGAAAAATTAAAAAACTGCAATAGGTATCCAGGTTCAGGTAACTCAGCCTCCTTTTACAGAGTGCTTCATACAACAAGGGTTACCAACCTTTTCTGTGTTTCTGTAATATAAACCAATGTCTACTTGCAGTTCATGTCTGAGTGGTCAGCAGTTCAATAAAAGAGTAATTTTTTTCTTACTCGAGTGACCTCAAGTGGGAGCTGAACATCAGCTCTCTCATCAAAAAAGCACAACAGAGGAGACACTACTTGTGGCAGCTGAAGAAGTTCAACCCGCCAATCATGATGCACTCCTACACTGTCATTATGGAGTCCATCCTCAATCACCATCTGGTACGCTGCTGCCACTGCCAAGTTCAAGAGCTGACTGCAGGGAATCATTCGCACTACAAAGAAGGTGATTAAGTGCAATCTGCTGTCCTCCAGGACCCCCCACCCCCTTCTGATTTTCCTTTCTCAGACTGTTTAATGTCAAAAGACTGATATTGTCATCCCTAGAACCCTGACACTAGCATGGCTAAAAAATCGAAGATGAGAAAATCACAAAAATAAGCACCTTGTGTCGAAAAAATAGTCTTATTTTTTCTTATTTACTACCTTAGATTCATCATATGACCCTCTGTGGGGCTCCCAACCACAGGCATACAACAGTGTATACTTTATGGATTACTGGTGACCTGGAAGTTAAACTGTGTGTGTGTGTGCATACTTACACTGAACTTGAGGTTGGGCTCCTCGTTGAGGTTTACTCTGGTTACCACATTCCCCGTCTGTTCCTCCACATCAAATATACTTGCAGAGTACGGATAAGCCTCCTGGTTGACTTTGTAGCGCACTAAACCTGCTGGGGTACCCTGTGAAGAGAACAAGTACACTTAAGATGACAGATTTAGATGAATGTGGTATTCGGGTGAAATATCTACTGCATGCTGTCTGGAGTACTACCACTCTTACAGACTTCTTGCAGAGTAGCATCAAATTAAAAGCACAGTGTGGTAATGCCTGTTCAGTATTTAAAATCCAAAGCAATTAGTTTCGGCCTAAATGTCAGAGAGTGTGTCCCAGTCCAAGTATATATGAAGCAGCTAAGACACACGTCACCACTTGGGATATACAGTGTGAGGTTCAAGTTTAGGAACTCTAACGATCATGAACTGACCTCTTGAGTGTTGATAATGCCAGTTGGTGTAACTAATTTGACTTAAAATGTCAGGAAACACATACAATTACATTATTTTATACTTTATAATATTACAGATAACCAGCTTATAGTTTTCTGGCTATCATCTAACATCTTGACAGTGTATCTGATTGTCTTTGGGACAACTTGGACTGGTCACTTGCTGCCATTAAAACTGTACTGTCTATTTCCCCCTTTTTTTCTTCGGAGACAGGAGGAAATCTCCACTTATCTTAGTCATTAAGACTTTGATTGCTTTATTGCTTTAAATTTTAAATTCCCATAGGTGCTCAATTGGATTTAGGTCAGAGGAACAAGAGGGCCAATCAATGGCATCTATGCCTTCATCATCCAGGAACTGCCTACACACTCTGGCCGCATGATGCCAGGCATTGTCCTGCACCAGGAGGAACCCAGGGCCCACTGCACCAGGACGAGCCCAGGGCCCACAGCACCAGCATAAGGTCTGACAATCAACTGCTGGCTATGACATGGAGGTCTATGCAACCCTCCAAGGATATGCCTCCCAAGACCATCACTGACCAATAGCCAAACTGGTCATGCTGGATGATGTTACAGGCAGCATAATGTTCACCATGGTATCTCCAGACTCTTTCACATCTGTCACATAAGCTCAGTGTGAACCTGCTCCCACCTGTGAAGAGAACGGGGCGCCAATGGCGGACCTGCCAAATCTGGTGTTCTCTGGTGAATGCCAGTCGAGATACACAGTGCTGGGCTGTGAGCACAGGTCACACTCTAGGATGCTGAGCCCTCATGCCACCCTCATGGAGTCTGTCTCTGACAGTTTGGTCAGAAACATGCACATCAGTAGCCTGCTGGAGGTCATTTTGTAGGGCTCCGACAGTGCTCCTCCTGTTCCTAATCACACAAAGGAGCAGATACCTGTCCTACTGCTGGGTTGATGCCCTTCTACGGCACTGTCCAGCTCTCCTTGTGTAACGGCCAGTCTCCTGGTATCTCCTCCATGCTCCTGAGACTGCGCTGGGAGACACAGCAAACCTTCTTGTGATGGCACTTATGGATGCGCCATCCTGGAGGAGCTAGACTACCTGTGCAACCTTATTGGGCGACAGGTACCACCTCATGCTACCAGAACACCAAACTGGAGAAGAATCGGTCAGGAAGGATAAGGAAAGAGCAACTGTCTGTGGCCACCACATGCAAAACCATTCCTTTTTGGGGGTTGCCTTCATGCCTCTTCATTGCACCTGTTGTCACTTTCATTTGCACCAGAGCAGGTGAAAGTGATTCACAATCACTTGTGCTTCCTAAATGGACACATTGATTTCCCTGAAGCTTAACTGCCTTGGTGTTATACTGTGAAGATTAAGCGTTACCTTACTTTTTCTGAGCAGTGTATATGCTGTATCAATAATCTCTATACACAGATATTTGTATATGTATGCAGAATCTGTAGGCAAGGATATCGGAACCATTGTGGTTGCTGTTTGAATACTTCTTCTACCACTGGCAGTACTTGTCGATGTGTCTGTTCCACTGTGAGCATTCATTAAAAACCATCTCATAGTGTAGTGATTCAGCAAAACTTCACTGTGGCGAATTCTTATAAAGATCTGTACTTCAGAGGTAAATTGTGGGTCTGAAGGGTAGAAGTGACATTGACATCTAAATATAATATATATATCCAAGGCTGTTAAGGTGCTATTTAGTACCTTGTTTGAGCACCGGGCGCCTTTATAGCACACAGCCTTGACAGCATGATGTTACTTTTTGACCCAGGAGAGTCTAGCTTGATGCTTAGACCTCAAGTCTGAATCAATTCAGCTGATGTAGGAAGACAACGAGCACATTAGTCAAAGGAACATGGGGCTTTTAAAAAGGCTTATGGGGGTAACATTGCCAGAGTAGAAGATTTCACACTGATATGTGGGACTTCTTGAGCAGTAATGCAAAGTAAATGTACTCTGTGTTTCTGGTCTTTTTTTTTTTTATAAATATTGACTTGGTGATTTACTACACTGTAAAAGTGCAAATTTACCAGTTGGTTGTTTCCTGTTTCCGACAAAGATGAGAGCTATTTTTCACACACAGCCGCTGCATTTCAGATTAGCATCTAAACAAAAGGCTGTGTGACTCAGCAAATCCACACAAACCATATTCACACTGCACTTAGACCCCGCTATGACCATTTTACAACCTTTTAAACCTGGAGTTAACTGCACCAGACTATCTAATGGCTCACAATGGAACTCTAAAGTGAGCTAACCTTCATTTTACAGCAGGCAGAGTAAACCAGCCTATATTACAAAGATGTTTCGAGTTAAAAGCCCAATTGAGGTATTGCTAAGTGTTAGACTGGGGTTAAAAAACGGCTCCACTGGAGGAAGAAGTGCAAACACATTCAAAACACACGCACAGACACTGGAGACAAGCGTCATTATCTTGCATCATTCCCATACATAATTTGAGGAACAGACTGTGAAAAACAGTTTGATTGAACAGCAGCAGCTGGAAATGCTCACCACAGGGTCAGAGTCATTGGCCATCACCGTGGTTACAATGGTTCCCTTGACAGCATTAGGGGCAACCAGGCCTCGGTACACTGACTGGCTGAATACTGGAGAAAAGTCATTCATGTCCTGGAGAGAGAGATAAACACACACAGAAAGACATTAGGATTGTAAACATACAGTATAGCAAGCTGCTTTTGTGTTCCTGTAAGTGTGTAGAATTTTACACATTTTTAATGTAAACAACGTGCAACGTGACTTTATGAGCATATTGCTTTTGCTTTCAGTCTGATTCTTAATTTTAACTTAATTCTCATTTTCACTTTCGCTCTGCAGTCCCCAAAATTACCCACAACTGCAGACTCATTTTTCATAGGTTTGGGAACATCTGGCCTCCACAAGGGAGAAAAAGCAACAGCTGTTTACAGGAGCAACACCTAACCCAGATAACACAACCCTTGAACCCATAATCTAATGCTAATGTTAATGTATGAGTTGATCTGTTTTGTTCTTGGAATTGGGAAAAACATCCATTTATCAGTGAGCAGAAGAAAAGGGGTGGTCACAGGATGGAAAACCTGTGGGTCTAAACAGGTGTAAACAGTTGGGTTGGGGGAAAAATTTTTATATTTTGCTTAGCGATACTGTAACAATACAGGGATGCCAAGTATCAACCTTTTATTATATACATCCCTAATTTTTGCAAATACACATTTTAACACAACTTTTGGTACTAGAATAATAAAATCAATAGCTTTTTCGGTCCACTAGATGGTGCTGTTTTGTTTTTCCTGGTGAGGTCAGCAGAGGTCTCAGTCAGCGGCATTTGGCAGGAAGTTCATCAAAACCAAGACAAAGGCAGCGTAGAAAGAAATCAGAAATGCGGCGTCTGTATTTCAGTCAAACGTCTGGACTTATTTTGGATTTTTTAACATCGAAAGGAAAGGTCTTGAAAATATGACGCATGTGATTTGCAAGCAGTGTCATATGAGACTAAAATACTCTGGGAATACTAAGAACGTAAGTGCTCATCTCATACTCGACCATCCAGAGATAGTGTTGGCTGACGGCCATGCTAACACTAAACCTGCTCCACCGAAAAATCAACCAACACTGCACACACCTAGCTTGACAAAACTACCATCCAACTCTGAGAGAGCAAAGAAAATAACACAGTCCATCACCTACTTCATGTGCAGAGATCTGTGTCCATACAGCATTGTTGAAAGCAAAAGCTTTTGTTACATGCTACAAACACTCTGTCTGTATGTGACTTAGTTCCAACCTTTTTATCACTGATGCCGTAACAAAGCTCTACAGAGAAATGAAGCATAAAGCTGAGGAATCTAAGTACAGCAGGGAGGGTGGCATTACTTCAAGGTCAGTGGATTCATATGTGACTATAATGGCACATTATCTCACAGAGGACTGGAGACTGCTGTATCACGTTCTCCAAACTAGAGCGGTACATGAAAGATACACCCAAGCAAACACTACAGAGCTCCTGCAAAATGCAGCGCAAGAATGGGGCATTGTGGTTGTAGCAGTAAACATTTCTAACATGGTTGTGCCATTCAGTTAGCATCACATTTTGCTGCAATAAAAATGATTAAAGTCAGATGAACAGACTGAAAACTTTGTCTTATGAGGTTAAACTGATGTTGACAAAGTTTTTCTTTGGGAAAATAATTTGTAGTTGGAAAAAAAAGGTAATAAATTGCAATATATCGCAATATTTTGTATCGCAATACTCAGCATATTGCCATAATATCGTATCGTGGCCTATGTATCATGATAATATTATTTCATGGGTCCCACCCCTAGTAAATTGGGCGAGAAAACAGCAGAAATATTGAAAGTGAGGACACCAATAATGTATTTGGAGTTGACATTCCTTTTAGACATTATACTGTATACACTGGTGACATCTCATTTAAAGGGTGGAGTATCAATAATAAGAAACTGGTACAATGCTTCTGGCAGCAAAAACAAAGCTGTCACAAGGCAGTGGCTAAAATAAGAGCCGCTCACCACTGATGAATGGACAGAAATAATATATGAAATATATATTATGGAAAGGTTGTCATTTTCCCTCAGAGTCTGAGCAGGAGTTTTGTTCCACATTTGGACCAAGTGGACAGATTACATTAAAGCTTAAAGTGTCAGACTGTGGCTGACTTGATCTAATAATAGCATCTAATAGCTCGCTCTTGATTCATTTTTTTTTCTCCCCTTCAACCCTTTGTAGCATCTAAGCATCTAAGTTTCCAGCATTTGATTGTAAATAATTGAAGCTAATGTTATAAAAGAAAACCTCTGGAGGAACCAGGCTTTATAATAATTTTCCAAGGTACCATTTGTTTTAAGTGTGTACAATGCTGCGTGGATTTACTTGCAGTAACACTAATACTATGTAAAAATGATGAATGTGAAATGAATGCTTTTCAAAAGTGAAAATAAAATTGAAAAATAAGTAAGTGAGGACACCACAGAAGAATATTGTATGGTATTGGGGATGTCAACTGTCGGTTAAGCACAGAGAATATTTTTGACTGGTTACGCATGTCGGTCTATGGGGTATTTTACTACTTTTACCACCTGGCTCTGGTGGGAGCTAGCTAGCTAGCTAATTTGGCGATTTTCGCTAATAACTACCGTCCTGGCCCAGCAGTGTTGCTGTGGAAACATTATGGCCATCCTCCCATCTCCCCCCAGGTCGCACTGGTGAGGAAGCAGCTTAGTTTTGCGACACAACCACACCTTTGTATGTTATCACTGTTAGCTCTGTTAGCACCATTGGCAGTGTCATCACAAGTAGTCTTGCTAACATAGCTAACAATGCTAAAGGAGTTTTGCGTCTCAAAATAAAGCTGCTTACTTGCCAGGGATACCTGGGGGGAAACCAGAGGGTGGCTGCCATGTTTCCACATCAATGTCATCCTGCCACTTTAACAGTGTTACCAGCGGTAATCACAAATAAGCGGCACCACTAGCTAGCTCCCACCCAACCTGGGTGGTGCGCAGTGCAGAGCAGCAAAGGCTAACGTTAGCTAACCAGTGGAGATCAGAGGTTTCACATATCAATGCAGCAAGTAAGCTGTATGGCAGCTAAGCCAACAGAAAAAAATGGCATCACACTTACATCACAAAACAATAAAATTTCACTACCTATAAATGGATAACAATCACTGCTTTGAAATGTGCTGCTAAAGCTCACTGAGTCAAAGGCCCATTGTAGTTCACATCATTTTGTGTTTTTTCCTCCTTAAAATGAACTGGTTGGTTACGGGTTACTGGGTGTTCGACTATCAAAAGCAAAATTAACCAAAACTGAAGTCCCTATGTGGTATAATGGATTTTAAAACTTGTTCCAGATTTGTCAAATTGAAAAAGACAAGGAAGTTTAAGCGGGATAGATTTAAGTCTAAAGTTCTGGTTGTCAGAGCTCCAGACAAGACATGAATGTTCCATAGATTTTGCGCATGTAGTAAATGTGCTAATGGATGCATCAAACCACTGGTGTGGCCCCTGAATGTCAGAATAAACACACACCCACACACTCACCATAATTCTAACAGTAACAGAGGCGAGTCCAGGAGGCATGGTTCCCTCTGAGTCCGTGGCCTCTACTGTGAATGTGTATGTAGCTTCTGAGTCAGCCAGAGCCTCGTAGTCCAGAACTTTAAGAACCGACAGCTCTCCAGTCACCGGGTCGATGTGGAACAGCCGAACGATCTCCTGGCCTGAGCCTTCACTTCTGATTCGATATGTGAGGTTGGAGCTGAGGTCAGCGTCTATTGCCTACAGAGGAAAGAGAGAGAGTCGGGGAATGGGCAAGAAAGTAATATCATCACCTTGTGGATTTATGGCAAGTTGAATTTTTTATATTTGCCAGAAGGACAAGGATCTACATGTGCTGGAGTTCGAAACAGACTGGAGTATTTTCATTAGGTCTGTGTTTGGGCTGGTATGTCTGAAGCGCCTGTGGTAGTGACTTTTATAGTCTAGCTGGTGGCCTGTATCTTATTTTTCTTTGTAGTCTTTTACTGTGTAAAAGACTACAAAGCAGGAGCAGGAGAACAAGCTGTCTTTTTCTTTCGTTTTTTACATTCCTGTACAACTCAGTGTGTCTTCAAGTGTTGTCAAATTAAAATTCTGACTCTTTAAGATGTATCTAGTCCTGGCTGGAATGCAACAAAGATTTCAAAATAGATGGAGGTAAATAACTCAAGACTATGCCGATGAGTCTTTCTGAAAGCACTCAGTAATTGAATTTATGACTTGAACGGATAAGGACCCCTTTAATTTGTTTTGTTAAAGAATTGTGACCCTTATTCACAGTGAGTGAGACATTTTTCTGTTGATAACAAACTTGTTAGTGCTCACTGGTGGACAAATTAATGTAATGCACTATTTTGTTGAAAACATTTTGGCATCTCTGAACTGCATTACTTGTCACTTATTGGCTGATGGAGATACCAAGCTACAAACAGCCAATACAACGGTCTGGATGATTTATTGGTTGCAAAAAGGGCTAATTTACACACTGGAACCTCACAATTTATAAGATGCTACATCAGGCATTTTTTTTTAGAAAGCTTCAATGTAAACAACTACGGAAATTATTACAAAATTAAAGAGGACCTGTTATACTTGTTTTCAGGTTCAGGGCTTCCCACACATTTATTTATTTGTGGCACACCACCACAATATCAGCATTTGGCACCACATTTAGATTTCCTCTGGTAGAGTTAACTCTGGGCACAGATGGAGCGGCAGAACGCCAAGCACAGGAAGTAAACTTAGCCGTTAAGTCATGTAGTCTTAGTGTTGTCAATCGTTTTACCAACCTACTTCAGATAATACCAGCTGTGTTTCAGTGAAACCACACACCCCACGGTACAGTGCTGGGTCTAACGAGCACAAGGAAGTTTGCTTTCTCTGGCCTCTGCAGCAGCTGCTCCTCTAATCCTTCAATCTGATCTGATTAGATCAATCTGACCGCAAACTGATCGTGAGGAAGTCTTGAGTGTGATGATCAAAAAGTTTATTCCTCAAATCCCTGTCCCATGACTCAAACTCAACAAACTGTCGTTGATGAAAAAAGTAAAACTTGTGAAGATTGACACCTATGCTGGGTTCATGGACCCACAAGAACATCAGCATTCAGGGAGGGGACACAGAGTAGTCACAAAGGAACATAATATACACAAACAAAAAGAGAAAGTTTGCCTATCCAGCACCCCTCCTGAAAAGGCCCAGTTTGCTCTGATCGGGCAGCGTTTGGCAGAGTATGGCAACACTTCCCACAGTTTAAAGCTTCTAAACCCAAATCTTCACCACCACACATGTTCCAGTCGGTATCTGATCTAAAATCTGGGAGAACTGACCTTCCGCTAAGCCCCACGCCTTTGTGATGGTCCGTCAAGCTGTCGGAGTAAGCATGGACTAACTAACTGCACTCCCTGAAGAAATATGATCATATTTTTGGAAAAATGAAACAGTGATTCCAGAGAGAAGCAGACAGAGGGGTCTACAGTCTGTGTTTGAAGGATATATCCAGGATGTCAAACTGACTCAGCAGCAACAACAGGTTAAAAAGACAAAGATAGTTAGAAGCTAAAGCCGAACTATAGGCTACAGATCACAGTGTAAAAGTGAACCACCACATCACTGCTGATCGCCACAGAAGACAATAAATAGAAAGGGAAACTTTGCTGATATTGAACCAGCTGTGTGGCATCTCAGTGTGTGCAGATGAACGGTGCCAGCACCTGGACTGCCACTGGCGGACAGGCAGGGATCTCCAGGAGAAGTCAAACAACATTCATCTGCGCACACTGTGATGACACACAGCTGGTTCAATGTCAGCAAAGTTTCCCTGCTTCCCTTCACTGGTTCCTGTACAGCAGGGTCGGTCTTTGTTTCACTGTTATAATCCTTAAAAAGCAAAAGCAGCATGTGTATACATTCAGTAGGCTATATCTTCAGTAGCTAGCTAGCTAACCCTACACTTTTCAGTGTTTGATTTTGGTTTTGGAACAGGGAAGAAACATATATCTTTTTCCAACCTCTCCAGGTAACGAGTATCATTAATACACGACGTGCCCGAGGCACAACATTTAGCTCCAAATCCACAAAACCAGCCTGAAAATGAAGGAAACCTGAAACAACTGCATTAGAGTCAATGGAGCACAGCTGTGTTGTTGTCGGACCCTGGTCTGAGCCGGCCTGATGCTACATTATGATTGGCCAGTCTACGTCTGGAGGCAAGACTTAGTGAACTTAACATCAGCAACCAGGATTACATGATTCCTTGACATTAGCATGTAGCTAAATTTAGCAGCGTAGACTATGTAATGGAAACCCTCACAGTAGTGTGCCTGGAGCAAATGATCATATAAAGAAATATGTCATGAGCTGAAGTCAGATACTTTTGAAAGTAGAAAAAACATTAAAAACAAAGTATTCAGAATGGTCTGAAGCCTGAGGTTTCTGCTCACAGGGAATACTTTCATATGTTTACCACAATATTTGAAACTTTAGCCACATTTTATAAGAACATTCAACATTGTACGATTATAAATATGATTGACAATAAGAAAAAAGCAACATAAGTTCCGAATGGACCAATCCATCGATCAGCTAACTCACCTTTAACTGTAGTATGACTGTATCCTTTGGGCTGTTCTCTGGGAGGCTGACATTGTACGTTTGCTGGGTGAATATCGGGCTGTTGTCGTCTACATCCAGAACGGTGATGGAGAGTGTTAATCTGGATCGCCGAGGGTCCACTGCACCATCCCAGGCTTCAACGATCAGAAAGTAGTGACCTTTCACCTTTAAGATGACAGAAAAACACGGTCAAACATCAACACTACAGCTACAAAAAATAATCATACTGTCATCTTTGTCAGTTTACTGCTTTCTTTTTTTTTGTATCAACAACCATAACAGTCCAAATCCAAACACATCATCGTTTCCTCTGACCTCTCTGTCCAGTGGCACCGTAGTCCTGATCGCTCCAGTGGCGTTGATGGAAAACAGCTTCTGGTGGTTGATGAGCCGGTAATGGACCTGACCACTTGCCCCAAGATCTGGGTCTGTCGCCTAAATATGGACACACAGACATCACACAAGCACACATGGAATAAGAAAGGAGGCCTAAAGGTTTAAATCATCTCCTTTGAAATGCCCACAATTCATCAGACTGCCTTTGAAGCAAATCGGTCTTTTAATTAAAAGTGAGCTTCCTCTCGAATCAAGCTAAATGTGAGTGAATGAAGTATGTCTGTGAGTGTATACAGTGGTGAAACACTTAACCGCGTTCAATCTTGTTAACATTTACAAGGCTTTTTTTCGGGAATAAAGAGAAATATATTTGCGAGTGGGTGAGTGAATGTGTCTGAGTGAGAGGGGGAGATATTGGGGAATGACTCAGAGGAGAATTATAAATGCAATTTCCTGCTTTACAGCTTCACTTGGGGGAGGCTTTGTCAAATTGCTATGCGTCCAAGAATCCTTTGTATTAGCTATGACCTTTTGACCTTATACGTCTAACCCAACACCGTCTTCTTATAGCTATACTCTTCAAAAATGACACTATAGATAGCTATTTTTTCCTTCCCTTCTTCCATCCGTTCGTACCTCATGTAATTGCTCTTGTCTGTAAGTTTCACACAAAAATTCAAACTTTCTAGGTAAAGCTATGACAAGGTGACAAAGACAGACCTTAGCGATATCCTCTACCTCTGTCTCACATTTTCCCAGCGTGGGCTCCCAGTTTTCATTTTTTCCTCCTTAATGCAACTTGTCCAGGGCAATTAAACTTCTTCTCCACAGGTAGCAAGTGTTAAACTTTCCCAGAGTTAATGAGACAGTGGTTTCAATTTCCACTTTGGGAAAAAAAGGTAGCACTGTCTTCCTTTGTTGCACGTCCGTCATCTGACTATCTATCCATGGACTACAGTCAAACTCTGGCTCCGTCTCCATGTCATCTCTTTCAACTCATAAAATAAGGTGTTGAGAAGATGACAAATTGCCAGCCGGAGTTCTTTCACCCTGTCTGAGCGTTCATCCTGTCCAATCAGCATTCTGACGGCATTAAAATAGATGAGAGCGGGGCAGAGGAGAGCAGAGCACAGGGAACTATTAACATGGTTTGTGTGTGCGTGTGTTCGTGTGCGAGCGGCTGAGGTTTGCTTACGTTGCTTTCTGACTCTGGAAGTCCCCAAAAGAAAAATATAATTCAGAGGTTTGTAGCAAGTGTTAAAATTAATTGCTTCACACCTGTTCTTATGGCTAACAGTCAGAGAGCTGTGTGTGTGTGTGTGTATGGTTGTGTGTGTGTGTTATCAGTCAGAGCTCGAGCAGTCAAGGACTTTGCATGACAAAATTAGTCAGCAGGAAGATTATTCTGAAGTTGATTAAATGTTAAAAACACGGACTTCCTCGTGATTAAGGATAATCCCTGTGGTATTTGCATACATTATGTTTCATTGTTAATTTTGTCAGCAAAAATCATGACAATAAATTCTCTTTCACTGGAGATATTGCCATGACAATGATGTGATGTTACTGAGAATGTAGTAATCACTGAGGATAAAACCCATGGGAAAATCTATTTAAGATCAATCTAACGAAAGGATGAAAAGCAAAAACACAGTGGAATGAGAGTCAGCTGTTGGCAGCTCTGCCTGACTGTACTGAGGCACAGCAGGGCTTTACGCAGCAGGATGCTAACACACTCACAGTGACATTTCTAACATGCTTTAGCACACTTAGCTTAGCACGTTAGCATTTTAGCATCCTAACATTTGTCAATTAGCACTAATTGCAAACAACTAAGGCTAAAGGAAATTTGTTTTGCAGGTATTGTATAATAAAGATGGACAACAAAAGTGAAGGCAAAACATCTTGGTTGCCCCCTGGTGGCTGGCTGCAGTATTAACCCCACCACCCTCCCAAAACATTCTCACTCCGACCTCGTCAAATATCGACCTTTGGTAATGGACTTTCCACATCCAGATACGACGTGAAAGGTACCTTGAGTACATTGGTTTTTCACATTCTGGTATTGATGTGACGTTCGCGAACAAGCTGATTCTTTGAACCGGCTCTTTGACGTGAACGAGTGAACCGGCTCTTTAGAGTGAATGAGCCAGTTCCTAATTTCTTTGTTTTTTTTTGCTGTAATTTACTCTGTATCCATTAATTTCAGATTATTTGATCCGTAACAAGTTGAGAGAGACTAGTTTGTGAGGGAGAAAGACAGTGCAGCCGCTCACTCGTTCACTTCAAAGAGCCGGTTCAAAGACTCGGCACGTTCGTGAACATCACATCACTACTATCCGCTAGCACTTGCTTGTATTGACAGGCTTGTTGTATATAAAGGGCGTTGCTATGGCTACACCAAACTTTATGTCTGTGGAGTCTATTCTGGGTCCATGTTACAATATCCATATCACGTGACGCGATATATCAGCAATGCGATCTGTTGTTGAACCCACTTACAACCCCCCCCCCCCATAACGCTGATGGATGTTCAAGTTTGGTTTCAATTAATTACTTGATGCTAAAAAAAGTAGGTCATGACTGTGGGTGTCAAATGAGGGCCAGCAATCAATGTCAGCGTCACTTGAGATTGGTTTGATGGCAGGAAATTGATACTGTGGAGATGTGATGTGATGTGATCATTTACCAAAGTCTTGAAAAACACACATTTTGACCTGATTATGATGCAAGGTGAAAAGTTAAGTTATTTGTTTTCGTCCGCGGGGGATTAGGGCTGTAAAAATTGTTCCAAAATGACATTGAATACTATTTGGCTATTAAAATGGATCACAATAAACATATTTGCTTGTGTAGGCAGGCCTTTATTTATTTTAACAAAAAACCTGGTGTTTTCATGGAAGTGTAATGCCCGTCGTCCAGTTTCCCCACAGCTTTACACCATTTTCTCTATCAGCATTGCTGCCGTTGACAACGCAGTTCACACTGTTAGCATCGTTAGCTGCTAGCCTGCTCAGCCACCTCAGTCTTGAGAGCCACGTGCAACCTGGCTCAGACTCTGCATCATAGATATGTTCTGAATGTGGTTTATATCACCTTTAAATGAAGCTGTTGTAAGCTGTGTCATATGTATGGCTTTATAGTGCATGTTGTATTTCTTATGTAATGTATTAGTGTTTTATTTGGTCCCCAAGGGGGCGCACTTAGTTCAGTGTTGTAGTGTGGGACCCTGTTTGCTCTTTGCTTGTTTGCACGCTTAGGAGAAACACCTGTGGTACTCTGGAGTTCAATAACTTCATTAAACTAAGTCTCAAAAAGTCCAGCAGCTGTTGTACTGCAGCTTTCTCCTCCACAATCAAATATTAATTTTTGTTTTAGGTGATTTTTACAAATCTAATATATATTCAAATTTAGATTATTTGTTGGCAGCCCCACCGGCAATCTGTCCAGTATTTCTCAAGACATTTCACTCTTGTCTAAAGTGGACCAGAGTAAATTGTAACTTCAGAGGCTGTGTCAAAAATTGTCAGTTCGAAATGTTTATCTAACTCCCATCACATCAGTTCATATTAATATTCCATTTTATTTGCTGTACTGTGTCAATTCTTGCTGTTGCAGTGACCCATTTTTCTCCGTTTGCCCAATTTAGGATCATTAAAGTTTCATCTTATCTCATGCTGTGACTATTAGGATTAATAGAAATTAAGTTCTGTCTTGCCGGCATTATGCAGACAGAGAGAAGAATGAAGTCTTTTTGGTGTGATTTGCATTCAGCGCATCATTGATATCTGCATGTAAAGCTGTATTATGAATTTAATGGAGCATCCAGCTTTTGGATGATTATCTTGGTTTGTTTGGAGAAGACAGAAAGAATTAACCATGGACAATGAGAGAGAGAGAGAGAGAGTGACAAAGAGACAGAGAGGGAAAGAAAGGATGGGGTCTGAGAGATGAGAGATTTAAATTAGGTGGCGAAGGAAACAAACATTTTGTGAACATGAAACTGTGTAAGTTTTGTTGATGTAAAACAGCAGAAGTGGATGTAATGTGTTTGTTCTTATGTTTGTATTTTTTGCAGTTACATTCATGCAAAGCAGTGTTGTGAATGAATGATGTAAATCATGACTCTTAAAGCAAATATTTAACATTTTGGGAACTACACTTGAGTGCCTTCTGACAGAGAGTTAGATAAGATCAATTGTATCTTTTAGGGTCGACGTCACAATGACGTGAGTTTGTTAGCTGGAGGCAAAACCCAAATCGCCACCACAGGGCTAAAAATGCTGCTGTAGCCCATCTGCTTCAAGGTTCAACGTGTTGTTGGTTCAGAGATGGTCTTCTGCATACCTTGGTTGTCACGAGTGGTTATTTGAGTTACTGTTGCCTAGGACCCTACAATACCAGAGTGACGACACTTGCATTGACTCCTGTGGTATGCTGAAGTTAAGCTTCACGCGCCCTCTAGTGGGGCATGAGGGCATTACCTTTCCGACCAGAAAACCCATTCACTTACAGTATGTCTGACGCGCACTTGCTTGTAAGTTGATGAAAACGGCCTTGTTTTTACTTTTAGGTGTCTTGGTCATATTAAGTCATGCTTATAATTTGTTTATTTCAAAATGTAGAGAGTAACATTCACCGATGCTCCTATTACGTTAGATTATGGTAGATTATGCTTTTAGGTTTGCTTGACTTTGGAAACCCACAAGAATTCCTGGTCGGCAGCAGTGCAGCAATACTGAAGTTCAGTCAGTTCTTGAGCGGATATGCAACGCGCTATCCCGCCACTAGAGGGCACATGACCAACTTTCCGCTTAACCAATGTGTGTTGCTACTCTGGTATTGTAGGGTCCTACTGTTGCCTTTTTCTATCATCTTGAACCAGTCTGGCCATTCTCCTCTGACCTCTGGCATCAACAAGGCATTTTCACCCAGAGAACTGCCGCTCACTGGATATTTTCTCTTTTTCGGAACATCCTCTGTAAACCCTAGAGATGGTTGTGTGTGAAAATCCCAATAGATCAGCAGTTTCAGCAGGTTGTTTTGACCATGTCTACATTCAGTGAGTTGTTGCCATGTGATTGGCTGATCAGTTATTT